ACCTGCTACCACTTGGTACACCATTCAACAACCGGATATCATCTTTCCCTGCGCCTTCTGACGAAGTAGATGAGCGTAATGTCACACCGCCACCTAAACGTGCTGCCAACAAAACGCCTAGTACGCCCATGACAGCGTCCAAGGCGAACTTCTTCTCAAGGAACAACCATCATGATGAATACCACAAACACTTACGTAGCAGCAGTTCAGCATTCAACTTGCGTGCAGCAGACTCGTCGCTTGATACACACCCGAATATCGGTACGATACCCATTCCGACCCTGAACCCGACACGCCAAGCCACCACACCTTTCTCGTCGAATTCATTACCAAAGGGAAGCGGAGAGTTCGCTCGCTTGCAGCCACGACCCAGCGGCGAATACAAGTCATCCGCCAAGGATGTGGAGATGCAGAGCATGGTTGCTGGACCGCGGCCATTACAGAAGAAAAACACATCGGATTCGATCCAGACTTCTGAGTCGACAGAGCCAGAAACGCCTTCTTCTGGTTCATCCTTGCGCCGAAAGCTTAGCCTTAGCGGCTGGAGGAGAGCTTCGTCAAAAGCTGCGACACATCAGTCGCAGAATCCACAGGTCCGAAAACCGGGCACTAAGACGGACGAACAAAGACAGCAGCCTCAACCACCTAAGCACAGCGAGATGCCGCCACCTCGATTACCTGCGTCTGCTACTTGGAGCGGCGCTACTGGTACAACTCCTCCTCCCGCTAAAAGTGGAACCCGACCATCCCTCGACTTTGGACGTCGCAAGACTTCTACAGCAGCTGTCGCAAGTGACACCGAGGCTGAGAAGTCAGGTGCTCGTAAACCCGTGGGAGGCGGTGGAATACGTGCTGTGTCGGGGCACACAGACCAGGCTACCAGCCAGGTGACACAAAAGTCCACGTCCATTTTGACACCGATGCAGCGGATGTTGGGTACGAAGAGCTCGTCAAACATGCTCAAAGCTCGTAATCTCGACCCCAATCTAGATCGGGATGATCTATTAGCCGACGAGGAGATGAAGAAGCTTGCTTCGAAGCGGAAAGATTTTGAGCATGCGGCGAGGGATGTTGATGAGCTTCGCAAGCGCGCCACGGCCAAGGAGCGTGTCACTCCAAGTGATGCTGTACGTATGGCCAACCTGAACATATTCGAGAGGGGGGAGATTATCGACTACAAAGAAGTGTACTTCTGTGGAACGAAGAATGCCAAGAAGCACGTCGGCGACCTTAATGCGCAGACAGCGAACTTTGGCTACGACGACGAACGTGGCGATTACAACATTGTCCTTGGAGACCATCTTGCCTACAGATACGAAGTCGTTGATGTGCTCGGAAAGGGTAGTTTCGGACAGGTCGTGCGCTGCGTAGACCATAAGACGGGAGGACTCGAAGCGATCAAGATCATTCGTAACAAGAAGAGGTTCCATCAGCAAGCTCTGGTCGAAGTCAACATTCTCCAGAAGTTGCGTGAATGGGTAAGTAAACTTGAACCATTTGACAGGGACAACTTGCTGACAAACATCAGGATCCCGACAACAAGCACAGTATGATCAACTTCACCCAGAGCTTCTACTTCCGCGGCCATCTTTGCATCTCTACTGAGCTTCTCGGTATGAACCTGTACGAGTTCATCAAGGCACACGAATTTAAGGGCTTCTCTCTCCGTCTGATCCGCCGGTTCTGCAAACAGATGTTGGCTTCATTGACTCTTCTGAAGACCCAGAAGGTCATTCACTGCGATCTGAAGCCGGAGAATATTCTGCTTGCGCACCCGCTGCACTCGGAAATCAAGGTCATCGATTTTGGATCAAGTTGCTTCGAGACCGAGAAGGTTTACACGTATATCCAGTCGCGATTCTACCGTTCGCCCGAGGTCATCCTTGGTATGAGCTACGGATTGCCGATTGACATGTGGAGTCTGGGTTGTATTCTTGCCGAACTACTAACTGGCTACCCTATCTTTCCTGGAGAGAATGAACAAGAGCAGCTTGCTTGCATCATGGAGATATTTGGACCCCCGGAGAAGCATCTTATCGAGAAGAGTAGCAGGAAGAAATTGTTCTTTGATTCGCTCGGTAAGCCCAGAGTTACCGTCTCGTCAAAAGGTCGCAGGCGAAGGCCCAGCTCGAAGACACTACAGCAAGCTTTGAAGTGTGATGACGAGGCTTTCCTCGACTTCATCACGCGCTGTCTACGATGGGATCCCGAACGCAGAATGAAGCCCGATGAAGCCATGCAGCATGAGTTCATCACTGGCGTTCGCAAAACCAGTCAACAACAACGACGACCTTTCAACGGCCCCTCTGGCGTTTCTTCGCCTGCAAAGCGAATGCCGCCTCCACAATCGGCGCAGCCACGCGTCCGACCTCTTCCAGAGCCTCCAGTGTCTAGTTTCAGTCGTGGGACCGCAGCCAGCGGTCAACGCCAGGTGTCGAGCGGCACCTCCCCTGTAAAGACTTCTGCTCCCGCGAGGCGTCATTCAACGGTGCAAGGACTTGCACCTGGAGCAGCGGGTACTAAGCGTGCCGCAAATGGAGCCCCACTCAATGCCACAAGTGGGAGTGGCCTGCCACGCGCAGCGCAGCGAAGTGTGTCAGGCAAGCCAGACCTCGCTTCGGCTGCGGCCATTGCCAGTCTCGTAAGTCGCAAACTTGACGCCTAGCTTGAGGCCGACAAGCTGCTAACAATGTTGTAGAAAACGCACACATAAATTTACGAAACCGGGAGATATTCTCAATATAGATTAACGATTACTTGGGCATCTCATGAGGTTTCTTACTATATAATAATGGGGTGTTAGCCTGCTGGCAGCTTGGGGTTAGGTTGTTAGGGACTTTTGTGCAGATATGGTTGCGGATGTTATGTTTTCCCATTCAGCGACGTTTATACCCCGAAAAAGTCTCTAGTTGGAGCATTATTTTCATCAGGTGTATTGGTGGGTTTCTTGGATAGTGGGGAGGACAGTGAAATCTTGATATGAACAGCATTCTAGGGCGTTGTAACAAGATAGACATGTTCTTCTAGAATTTGTAATGCGATGAATGGGGTTCCGCGATTTGAGATTTACGAGTCGCCTGTCCTTGGCGGAATGCATGTACTGTTTGTTTGCACTAAGTCGCTGACTCCTGGTGATGTCAGTGCGTTATCGATAAGAACTGTCGCGAATTTGACTGTTGGTTGCGACTCCTGCACCACAGCCCTCACCACGCGACAATACTTGTTTGATACCCAGTCCTTCTTTCCTTGCTTTGATTGAAAATGCCTCGCGACCCGCTGATCGGCCTCGTGGGCAAGCCGTCGTCCGGCAAGTCGACAACTCTAAACAGGTGCGCAGTGCCCCGCCATCCCTCCTCCTCCTTGGTGAATCTTTCTGAGATGTGTTCCATGGCAGTTTGACAGATGCTACCTCCAAAGTCGGTCCGTACACGTATGAACATATTGGAAGCTGTATAGGCTGATGATAAGTAGGTAACTTTCCGTAAGTCGTCCCTCTCCAACCGGCTGCATGCGACGGCGCAGCGCGTACCGCTTTACTATTCTACCGCTCCTATCGCAATCATCGTACCGTCAGCTCCTAACCCGACGTGTCCAGATTCACGACTATCGATCCCCAGCGCGCCATTGGCTACCTCCAAATCGAATGCCCCTGCGCGCGCCTCAACCTTGCCGACCGCTGCAAGCCCAACTATGGTGGCTGCGTCCAAGGACGGCGATCCGTCCCTATAGAACTTCTTGATGTCGCCGGTCTTGTTCCAGGCGCACATATGGGAAAAGGTCTCGGGAACAGGTTTTTGGACGACTTGCGACACGCAGATGCGCTGGTACACGTAGTTGATGTAAGCGGGACAACCGACGCAGAGGGCAAGGCGACAAGAGGCTACGATCCAAGTCAGGATATTGTTTGGCTGAGGAGTGAGATTGTGAGATGGATACAAGGCAACCTCATGGAGAAGTGGGGCAGCATCAAGAGGAGGCATGTCGCTATCAAAGCTACGGCGGTCGAGACACTACAGAACCAATTCTCGGGGTACGGGTCAACGTCCAGTGTCGTCGCGCGCTGCCTCGATCGTCTTGCCCTCAAGGAACCACTACAAGACTGGTCTGACGAGACCATCGAACGAGTGGTAAACGCCTTCACCGACGAGAAATTTCCTACCGTTATCGCCCTCAACAAGATTGATCATCCCGATGCCGACAAGAACATAGCCAAGATTGCGAAAACCGCAGACCCGAAGAGTATAGTGCTGTGCAGTGCCATATCCGAAGTATTCCTAAGGAAGCTGGCAAAACAAGGCTTTATCAAATACACAGAAGGCAGTGAGTTCGTCGACACAAGAGAAGACTTGATCGAGCAGGGCGACCCTGATGGAGGCGGACTGAAAGAGCTGGACGAGAAGCTCACGACACGTATTGAGAACCTGAAAGATATGGTTCTTTACCGATTCGGTAGTACAGGCGTCGTACAAGTCCTGTCTCGGGCAGCTGAACTCCTTGGTCTAGTTCCAGTCTTCCCAGTTCGGAATATACATACGTATACTAGCGGAAGTGCGAGCTCAACGGCTGTATTCAGGGATTGTGTACTTGTTAAGAAGGGAAGCACGGTGGGTGATGTGTACCGGAAGGTCATGGGTGATGCACCCATGGCATATGTGGAAACCGAGGGCGGGAGAAGAGTTGCAGAAGACGATGTTGTTGCTGTAGGAAAGAACGATGTGAGTACATGCTGAAAGTGAAAGTGAATATCTGGCTAACAATGGGTAGATTTTGAGCTTCAAGGTTGGAAGAGCATAATACAGCCTTGGTGTTAAAAATAAACCTTAGACAATACTGAACTCGAATACCACAACTCTCAACGCAGCTTGCCAGAATTCATGGCATCCTAGCTGAACAACGTGGGATTCGAAACTTCAGCAAACACTTCAGGGACTTACTATCGATCTTTCGATTGCATTATTGAACGTGTTCGTATCCTTGCAGAGCCATGAAAGCCAATAAATTCACTCCTCATCTTCCCGCTCTAACGCATACAACTCCTTTGGCCTTCCTCCACCATCACAACTAGAGAATTTCCACCACGTCCAGTGGACACTACCGGCTACATTGACCAGCCCCCATCTCACCGGCGCCGGCATCGGAGGCCAGTTTGCCCATCTGCCGTCCTCAAATGTAGCATCCAGGTTCATTAGGAAGAATGGTACGACATCAAAAGTTCCTGCTTTAGTAACAGTCTTCTTACCCCATGCTTTGAAAACAGTCGCGGCGAGTTCTGCTTCTGGGGTGTTTGGTGCTGGAGCGGAGGGGTGGTCTGCGAAAGCAGCTATTGTGCTGATCTCGTGGTGGAAGTGATGCATGAAGGCGGTTTGAAACGAGTCCATAATGCTTACAAGCTCTTTTCCGTTGAAATACTGCGGGGAAGAGAGGGAATTCAGGTAGGTGTTGTAGCTTGCTAGGCCGCTAAGAAAAGATTCTACGTCGGTCTTATGTTAGATGTTGACCCCATAGCAACTGAAAGAAGAAGAAGAAGGTGTTATTACCGTGTTCTTCATGTGTCTCTTTCCAGATATCTTTGGATCTTAACATGTCTTCTACCTTGGGGAACAACTCCGCTTCCTCATCGTCGTGGTGGCTCTTGATGAAGCGATACCATGTTTGTGCGTACCCGACGAACGCTGTTTTATCTACTTCTCGAACATGAGGAGCTTGCAGATATATAGTGTTGTACCCTCGCAGTATGGCGTTGTGGATGTGTGCCATGTGCGTTGCTCCGGTTGTAAAGATGCCGTCCTGAGTATTAAATTAGCATGTTCCAGTGAGAATGCTACGCGCGAAATACCTTGTTCGTCCCAAACTGCGGCGTTGCGATTAGCTTACAAGGACCCTCGGCCCACGATATGTTAGCGGAACTAGTCATGGGCGAAGAGATAAAGAACTGAATGGATATGGCAAGGGTTAGGAGTAAGAAGAAAGTGATGGTGGTAACGCTGGGCATTGTGACAGCCACCAGTATCTTACTATCCAGTGCGATTCCATCGTTCTAATGTACTTATTAGATTGCATGTTCAAAGATTAAAAAAAAGTGGTGTGTTCTCGGACATCGTGCGTGGTGGTGTGAGAGTAAGGCGACTCGTCCTTTCTCCGATTGGTTTAGCGGGTCGGTGAGAACAGCAGATTTGCAGAACGTCGTTGTCTTTCAATTACAACCTGACATATTGAAACCCTTTGACACATGAGCAGCATCAAGAAACTATTGTTTCATGCCCATCTAACTAGTCCATCGATGAGTACCTGCAATGCGATGCTGTCCCCACACAATCCCGCCACGATGCTGACGTTGATACCTAGCATGCTATCTCCAACTAAGAACATATCATTCCTTACATCAGTCCCTCTTAGTGGGTCGTACACCTCGTCTGGTATTCTTCTCTTCACGGCTTGGGGCCAGGTACCACTGGTCTGACCATCCTGTGGTGGGGTAAAGTTGGGAATCGCTTTACACCAGTAGTGACACGTCGATCGGTTGAAGCCAAATGCTACTGGAAAGCTCAAGGAGTGCGCATATGCTGCTGATTGGACGCGCAGCATTACAGCGCCCCAGAATTCTGTGACATGATCTGGTATACGTAGCTCGTGGGTGGTTTCATCCCAGGCATTTCGAGGTGTAACGCTGATTATACGAACATTAGGTGTGGCCTGGTTAGAAACTCGACGACGAATATGGAAGCTCTTGAACTCAGTGGTCGTGAAGTCAGGTGGTATAGAAGGTTTCTGTCGTACGTAGATGGTATGAAGTTTTCCAGTAGGCCAGTCATCGATGGGAACTAGAGCACCAGCATCGACGCGTGCGTATTGCATCCCTCCATCTAAGCACTTTAGTGTGATAGCTAGGCGCTGGTTCAGCTGGTTGCTTGAGCGAATCATGGCTAGCACACGGCTCTTGTCTTGATCAGGTAAAAATTCGAACTGCACACGTAACCCGATTGGCGTGAACCCAATGGGGAATGTAGAGACGACATTCTCGTGCTCTACAGAACGGCAGTGCTGGAATTCCTCAGGATGGCGCGCAAGTAATCCTCGGTACGTTGAATGCTCGGATGTCGTTGCGCACCAGGCAAATAAAGAGTAGTCGTCAGTAGTCCTTAGTATCTCTTCTTGTAAGCGAATGAAAGCCTTACTACCCTCTCCATAAAGCAATGGCATATGAATGTCGAAGATGCCCAACAAACACTAGATATTCGTATACAAAATCAGTGCGTGTCTAACTTGCACTTTGCATAGAGACACTCACATATGCTACATCCTCTATACGTGTGCTTTGCCGATGTGCCGCCCATGACATTCTCTCCGCGATTGAGACTTCGCTAAGTAAATTTCTGTCATCAAGCACACGAACTGGAATACCTGTGGCGTCGGATAACTCTTCCAAAAATTCAACTTTTTCGCCCATCAAGGTCCAATCCTGGAAGTAGAAGCGACATACAATTGGTGCTATCAGCTCCTGTAAAGTCCAACCACGACGTGCCCATCGGCAACCTTTGAGAGATGCTCTTGCGATCTCGGAGGCAGTCGTATAATTACCTGAGCGTGGTTTGGGGATGTCACCCAGATAGACGATGCAAACTTCGGCGTCTCTGTACCATCGATACATGGAGTTGATGGCTTCTTGGAGCTCTGCACTTGATGTCTTGTCAATGCAGCACCTAATATCAACGTATAAAGTCAGCCTATGTTTCACATGCTGTTGATGTGAGGAAATCAACGTACGTATCCACCCAGAGATAGTTACAGCCCAAGCCCTGTGCTTGCTCAGCTGCGTTCAATATCTTGCTGTAGCCGACCCGCTTCAGGAGATCCTCTTCTGATAAGCCTCCGGGTCCTGAGCTGCCTCGAATCATCAACTCCAGAGCTAGCATGAGTGTGTTATGCGCATCTTGAGTAGATGCTAGGTTAGGAGAAGCGGAAATTGCTCGAGCTTTACTAATCCAAACGAATTCTTGGTAGTTGACCTCATCCGAGCCCCAGGTATGGGAAAGGATGGCGTACTTGGGAATAGCATCGTCGTTGAACCACTGGAGTTCGAGTGTTCTAACATTGATGAGTCGCATAGCAGACGCGTCGCGACGTGTCGGCGTGCGTAGTCATTGGTGTAGGATCAACAAGCGGGGTGCCTAAAACTGAGCCAATGACGCCGATCTATTCGTGTCAGCAGGCTAAGCTTTGCGCTAAACCCAGTCAAGGCTCACATACGAAGATGTTCGTATCCCATGTTCCCACCATATTCAAGGGAGAAGCTGAATATCCCTTGAGAACCTCTTCCTTTAGCCTACTCCAGCACGCTATATGTTGTGTGCTGTAGAAGAGCTCGCTAAAGGAGGTTTAGTTTCTTTCGTATGAAAGGTGCTCCAAGAGGTTTCCCCAATTGGTGAAGACAATATAAATTTACATGTCATCGTCGGCTTTAAATGTTCACGGCATTCAGGATCAATGATGCTACAGCAAGAGAATACATGGCATGTCATCCTAATTGCGAGGAGAAGACGTGGTGCGGGGAGGCAAATGCGGGCATGTTCTGCCTCGGAGACCGAAATCAAGTTCCTTGCCGTCCCGCGCGTCGGGATGGCGTTGCATATATTGCATATCTGTCGTACCACTAGTGACTGATATGCCAGATAGAACTGAGTGCAGAATTGAGGTCATCACATTTACAGGCAATATCCAGCGAAGTGGTTGTAGCAGAGTGTAGTATTTGCTAATGAAATAACTTAGAGGTGGGGAAGATACGACTATGTGTACATATGGGTAATGAAAAATTCAATGAATGTAGACTCTGAACCATCTCGAACCAGATCCCTGAAATTACAAATGTTGAAAAGCGCACGCCTCCTGGGTGCGTCACTGATACGTGTCGCATGATGATCATCCACCTCCTAGTGTTCGCCGTATCTATTCGCTCACCGCACTCATTCCTTGTCTCCCATGCGCATGCAAACTGCGTCATGAAAGTACGCTCTCCGAGGTACTGAAGATGGGCGAGTGTAGGCCAAGGGTGCAGCCACTGGCGGCTAGACTTGGTCGGTGGCATCTTCACGCGAGAAGCCGAATTTACGGTCGACTCGGATGCAGTTTTCGTCGATGCTTTTGTTGTGAATATGCGAGGTTGGGGTGGTGATAAGACTCTCGTGATCCTTACTCTTCATGTCCGACCATGAACTCATCTGACGGCTCTTTTCGCAAACAGTTGAGCTTTCACTGAGGGTTGAGGGTGCAGATTTGTCGTGGAAGTCGCTCCTGATCAGCCGTTGGTGAGCATCGGGTCCTCTCGTGGCAAGATTCTGGTCGTTGACGACGCCAGCCCAGATGGCGGAGAATGGAAGGAAGATGCATATCATCGTGAGAACATGGGCGACGATCTCAGGGAGAATGTTTGCGAACTGAAGAGACGCAAAGATGGCTACAAGTGTGTCAGATATGTTTCAAGACTCAAGCTCGCATGGGCAAATGTACCTGGTACGAACATGGTCTGGCAGCCCATGATGAAAACAATCTGCATTGGTCCAAACTGTGGCATATTGAGACGACGCCTCTGAATGATAGCGTGGCCTAGTTTGTACGTAAAAACGCAGCTGAACATCCAGATGGACACAGCTTGTAGGATGTAAGAGACCGCAATTAAGACCAAGATGGAGTCGGTATCCAAAACATTCAGAGTCAATTTGGTGCTCAGATAGACGGCAGCAAGTCTGAATCCAAGCGCAATGCAGGCCATGACAGTGGTTGTACCCATGATGATGCTGCGTTGTAGAGGCGGTGTGGTGACGCAAACGATCCAGACTTGGAGACTGAGTGACATGAAGACGAGGATAGTAACGATAACACCAAAAATGTTGATGGTGATGAAGCTAGCAAAGTCTGCGCTGGTCAAACGACTTCGATTTCCAGATAAGACGGTGTAAGGGTCGTAGAAGTTACCGGTGACCCAAGTACAGAACAGCAGGCAGCGGATGGTGTTGGTGAGCAGACAGGCAGCGTTGAGGAAGAAGATGAAGGACTTGCGTTTCTCAGCCTTGGTCAGAAGGAGGAGAACGACCAAGAGCATGAGTGATACACCAAAACCTGTCCCGTAGCTGATAGCGAGACGAAAGCCGTAGATGCGATAGTCATCGAGCGACTTCATGTTCACCGGCACGGCTAACCATTCGCCGTAGCCATCTGATACAGCAAGAGTGAAATTCTGGTTCCATGGATCGAAGTTAGGAGGAACCTGGATGCTCTGTGCAATTCCGTCCATGGCAGTTTGTGTTATCGGGAGTTTGCGGATTGCTTGGGATAGCGGTGTCTGGTTGCAGGTCCAAATAGAAGCCGCCTGAGGTAATAAATTGGAAGAAAGGTAGGATGAAGTAGAGTTTGAGAAAAGAGCGAAGGAGCTCAGTAGTGAGGAAGATCGAAGCTTTATCGTGTAGCGGGTCGGGATATAATAGCTAGAGGACAGGGTTGCTTCTGCAATGGAGATTGTTGCTAGACATGGTCGTCGACAAAGTGACTGGGAGTGATGGCTTTCGGATCCCGAGCGGATAATAGCAACCGCAGCGACAGCGTGCGATTGTTTCGATATCTCGACTTATGACTATAGCTAGCTGGAAAAAGGTGAAGATGAAGTCTCAGAGTTACTTGACGCCCTTACTATTGTTCCGCGGTTCCTTCACCTGGATGCATCTGGGTACTCGCTTCGGCCCGGTGAAGCTTAACCAATGCTTGCGGTTGTCACTCTCCTCCTGTCTTGCAACGGGTTACAGAGTCGCTCAAAGTAAAGCGCAGATCTATTAGATGCATTGTTTGTGGTGTGGGACGAGGTTGTGATCAGATAGCGCGAATTCCTTACTATTGTTCTTCGACTACGGCCGCCTGAGCTTTGAGACCTTTGGGTACCGGTGTACAGGGACCAATTGCACATAGCATGGACGGTGGCCAAATTGCATAGCACAACATGCGGGTATGCAACCATAGCACCACATCATTCACATCCAACCCCTTGCTGTAGGATGGACGAGGCAAAGCCGTTCCTGCTTCGGAGGAACAGGTTGGCGGCAGTCGCAACGAATCGACATATAGCCCCACTTATTATGCACGTCACCGTTAGCTCACTAGCAGCCCCGACCTCCACCAGACAAACGTGACCTCGCGTTGACTTTGACATACGCGATCTAACATCCGCCACGACGCGTCAAACGACTCAGAATGTGGACGCTGGTTAGTCGTGTGCCTGTACGTACTAATTGTGAGACATGTACTGACTTCGTATACCGAACTTTAGGTCTCTTCACACACGGCGGCAGCGCCAGGCATGAGTCAATTTCACCTGCCAGAAGAGGGCGTGGCACACATCGTCTTAGCTCTTGCATCCAAACACCCTTCCGTGGTACGCGACCCGCCATTGCCGGGTCTCTTTCGTGAGCTTGGCCGCATCGGTATGTCTTCTACATGAGCTTTGGTATGAGGCGCAATCTCTTACCGTTATAGTTGTCGGGCTCTTTGGAGTCAAAGTAGAAGCCATCACAGACACAGTAACTATCTTGCCTTTCCAACCGCACACGAAAAGCTCATCGATTGCCCATTTTCAATTACAACCACCAAGTGACGGACGCTCAGAAGCAATCTTCCTGCGCCATGGCGATGTGTTGGGATTTTCAACAGCTGAAACTAATCTCGTTTGTCATTGGACAGACTCGGAGGTTCAGGTCAACTCGTCAGCTGCAGCGAATGTGAACGGTGTCGCTGAAATACACGAGGAAGATACCGAAGATGAAGATTCGAAGGAGCCCGTTGTTGATGTAACGTCACTAAAGCAGACGCAGCCGCAGCCTCAAGCGACGCCTCAGCTCTCGAATCAAAGATCGATTACTATCGTTAAAGAAACCCCAACTACGGATCGTGTAGATCATACGCCTGCGTTTCGTGATGCAAACTTCAATCCGCCAGACTTCGCCAGCGACGTCAACAAGCTAGCCAAGTATACGCCTAATATCTCGAAGGACCCCGAAGCGGAGCCAGAGCAAGAAGCAGCGGCCTTCTCGACAGCCCGGACCAGTGAATTGCAGGACCGTGCGCAGTTAAACCTGCTCTCGAGTGCTAGAGTATCTTCGCCACAAGTACAGATTCCAGCCAGATTATCCAAGAAGCGCACACTTCCCACATCACAGGAAGAGGCACCAGAAGCCGACAATGAAGCACTTGCTGGGCCTAGTAAGCGCGCAAAGACAGCTGACAGTGATACCGAAGACAGTCGGTTGAGCAATGTCGACGTTGCTAAGGAAGATTTGTCAACGATGCCGCCGCGAGCGCAGAAAAGTTCGCAACGATTTACATCTACAACAACAGAAGACTATGACGGCCCAACGCCCCGTGTAGCTTGTAGCAACTCCACCATTACAAAGACAAGCCAGGTTGCGAAGTTCTTGAAGAAGCAAGGTGGGGTATATGTGGAAAATCTAACGGATGAGTTTAATCTTCTATGGTGAGCACTTTCTCTACGGTCGTATCACTCTACTAATACGTCGAAGTGTAAGAGATGGTGATCTCCAGAAAACAACAAAAGTACTATATGCTATTGCTTGCGGTATTCCCATCGTTACCGATCAGTGGCTGTATGAGTCTGCGTCAGCCAAGCGCCTCCTCGCCGTTTCTGCTTTCAAGCCATCCACTCCTAAGCAGGAGGAGGAGTGGAAGCTGAAACTTGACGACGTCCTCGGGAAACCACAAGCTCCTTTCATGGAATACAGTATTCACTTCACAAGAAGCCTTAAGGCGAAATACGCGTCTTTCTCCGAGATCGAGGTGGTAGGCAAAGCCGCGGGCGCGAAGAATGTAATCATTGGTGCGGCGAAGGTGAAGAGGACGGGAAGCAGCATTGTCCTCGCAGACGACAGAGACGACGCAGAAGCCCACAAATTGATGAAAGATGGAGTAACGTGCTATACGAAAGACTTCTTCACTTTCAGTATCCTGCGGGGTGTCCTCGACCTCGAGAGCAACGAGTTCAGGATTGAAGGGGTCGTCGAGGCCGCCGAGACACCTTTGAAGGAGCCAAAGAAGAAGCGAGCCCGGAAGA